TCAGGCACTAAATAGAGGATTTTACCCTGAGAACCCTAATTTAGTAACTTCTCACACACTTAACCCTTGATGAATTAAACTTGAAATGATGTCTCATATGTCTTAACACAACATACCATGACCATAGAGAATTTGAATTGAGTTTCTCTCTTATTCAATTGCACAGTTGACTGAGGATTTACCAGATGAGAACCCTAACTGCAATACTTTCAACTGTGGCTTGTTCCAATCCACTTGCATAAGCTCCACAATGACCCTCAAGGCCCTCAATAAGCTTTCTTTACATCTCATACTCAAAATCATGGCTTCACAAACTTCTTATGCTCTTCAGTTGGCCTACCGGTTAGGGGCTATCCCACACACATCCATCTGTCCTTTCACAATACATGAACCACTTCAAGATGTCCTGATGACCACTAAAGCTTGAGTAACAACCCCTGTTTAGGCTCCATGCTCTGATAAGACTCCTCTCTTGCTATGCACATCCTTTTAATCCCCTGTTCAATGCGATATGATATGCAATGCAAATGCTAGAATAAAATGAAATGAAATGAAACATAAACCAAGTTAAGAAAATGTTGAGCAAATTTTGGGGTGCAACAGCGAGTATAACTCCAAAGAGTTCCAGAAGTTCTGTGAGGAGAATGAAATTGAGCATGAGGTTACTGCTCCTTATACCCCTCAACACAATGGTCTTGCTAAAAGAATAAACCGCACTTTGCTTGATATGGTGAGAAGCATGCTAAAGGAGAAGAAGCTTCCTCAGAAGCTTTGGGAGAAGCTGTTGCCAGTGCAACGTATGTACTCCACCGATGTCCTACGAAGAAGTTGAAAGAAATAGTTCCAATACAGAAGTGCACTGGAGATAAGCAAAGTGTTAGTCATCTGAAGGTGTTTGGTTCTGTTTGCTATAAACATGTTTCAGATGCCAGAAGACAGAAGCTGGATGATAGAAGCAAAGTGATGAATTTGATAGGGTACCACAGTACAGGTGCATACAAGCTCTATTGTCCAGAAACCAATAAAATTGAATTCAGTAGAGATGTGATTGTGAAGGAATCAGAAGTTTGGAATTGGGATAAGTCTCAATCTGATTCTGATGTTAGAACTTCTGAAGAAAGGTCAGAGTCAAGAATTTCTGAAGTTGGAATAAACTCTGACGTTGACTCTGACTCTGATAGTGATTCAGACTCTGGAGAAGACTCAGAAGATGAAGGTGACTCTGATGATCCAGACTCTGATGGCAATCCAGATTCTGGTGGCAATTCAGACTCTGGAAATATGCCAGACTCTGAAGATGGTCAAAGCTCTGGAGGAAGTCAATCATCTGAAGCTAGAAACTCTGAAGCTCAAGACTCTGAAAAAGTTCAGAGACCACAAAGAATAAGAAACGTCCCCAGAAGATATGCAGAATTTGACATGCTGCAAGACACTGAAGTAGACTCTGAAGGAGAAGTTATTCAGTGTACCATGATAGTAGACTCTGAACCCATAAGTACAGAAAAGGCTCTTAAGCAGAAGCTCTGGCTGAAGGCCATGAAAGAATAACTTGATGCTATAGAGAGAAACAAGACTTGGAAGCTGGCAGAACTTCCAAAAGACAAGAAAGCCATCAGCGTCAGATGGGTTTTCAAGCAGAAGTTAAAGCCAGATGGTTCAATTGGCAAACATAAAGCAAGGTTGGTAGCTAGAGGATTTCTACAGAAACCTGGGCTGGATTATTCTGAGTTTGCACCTGTAGCAAGACATGAAACAATCAGAATGGTGATTGCAATAGCTGCTAACAGGAATTGGCCTCTGATGCATTTAGATGTAAAATATGCATTTATGAATGATCCATTAGAAGAAGAAGTTAACGTGTCACAACCTCCTAGATTTGTGAAAAAGAATCAGAAAGGGATGGTGTACAGATTATACAAAGCTCTATATGGATTGAAACAAGCGCCCAAAGCTTGGAATCAGAAGATTGATTCATTTTTCAAGAAGCAAGGCTTTCAGAAATGTGAAATGGAGTACGGTGTTTATGTTCAGCATACTTCTGAAGGCAATATGACTCTGGTGTGTTTATATGTTGATGACATACTGCTAGGGATGGAAATGAGTCGAGTCGAGTCGAACTCACCTCAGCTCGGCTCGACTCGTTAAAAATTGTTCGAGATCGAGTTCGAGTTAGAGTTCGACACGAACTTTTTTTCAAGCTCAAACTCGACTCGTTATAAGTTCACGAACAGTTCGGTTCAACTCGTTAGGTTCATCTCATTAGGTTCAGCTCACATGATTCACGGACTTAAAAACTATTTTTTAAAATTTATGTATTTTTTAGTATATTTGACATTTTAAATAAATATATTTTTTTAAAATAAAATATTAAAATAAAATAAAAGTTATCATATTGAAATTTAACTTTATCTTCGAAATCTACTAATTCAAAACCTACACAACTTTCAAGAGATACATTTGAGAGTCTAATTCAAAAACTACTAAATTGAAGATTAAATTTGTCTAAGATTTGGAGTAAATATTTAAACCTAATCTTAAAGACAGTATAATTCTTCTCATATGTAATCGAGTTGACTCATGAACCTAACGAGTCGAACTATGTATAGTTCAAGTTCAGCTCATTTAGTTAACGAACTTAATTTTTCTCTCATACTCAACTCATTTGGTTCATGAACCTAGTTCAACGATTTTATTGTCGAATCGAATTCCGAACTATTTTCGAGTTGGTTCGGTTCATTACCAGCCCTACATACTGCTGACTGGTAGTTCTGAACAAGAGATAGCCAAGTTTAAGAAAGTTCTGATGAATGAATTCGAAATGACTGATTTAGGAAAAATGACATACTTTCTAGGGATGGAGTTCAGATATTCTGAGAAAGGTATCATTTTGCATCAGCTCAAGTATGAATTAGAACTTCTGAAGAGATTTGAACTGAAGAATTGTAAGATTGCTGTCACACCTTCTGATACAAATCAGAAACTGGATTCTGACTCTGATGGAAAGGATGTGGACGCTACAACCTTCAAACAGTTGGTTGGTTATCTGAGGTATCTGTGCAATACCAGACCTGATATTTGCTATTATATTAGGATGGTTAGTAGGTTCATGAGTAAACCTAAGTGGTCCCATTACCAAGCTGCTGTTAGGGTTCTGAGGTATATCAAGGGAACTCTAAAGTATGGAGTGTTATTTCCTTCTAGAAGAAAGAATGAGTCAGAACTTCCGAGTTATTCAGATTCTGATTGGTGTGGAGACAGAGTTGACCGAAGAAGTACCTCTAGGTACTTGTTCAAATTTCTGGGAGGTCCCATTTCTTGGTGTTCCAAGAAGCAACCTGTTGTGGCGTTATCAACCTGCGAAGCTGAATGCATTGCAGGTACTGTTACTGCATGCCAAGCTGTGTGGATTTTGAATCTGTTGCAGGATCTGAAGATTAAAATAAACAAACCTCTGAAGCTGATGATTGACAACAAGTCTGCAATCAATCTTGTCAGAAACCCAGTGTTGCATGGGAGAAGCAAGCATATTGAAACCAAGTATAATTTTCTGAGACATCAAGTTCAGAATGGAGTGTTAGAAGTTGTACACTGCAGCACTCAAAAATAGTTGGCAGATGCTCTGACGAAAGCTATCAAGATTGATCAATTTCTTAGACTAAGGGATGGAATTGGTGTTACAAGTTTTGATGGAATATGAATTGAGGGATGGTATTAGAAGTAATTCATATTTAGTTGTACTATTACTTAGCCCCTAAGTTTGTTAGAGGGTATTTTAATATTTTATCTTCTTCTATTAACCCTAGTTTTATAGCTTATAAATAGGGTTGCAATCATTGTAATGTTTAGTGAGTTGTGTAGCCGTCATTCTCTTTAATAGAATATTTCCTCTGTTCATCATTTATTCACCTTTGCACCAACACAAACAACGCTGATATGTCATTTAAGGAGATGATGAAAAACATGTTGAAAATATTAAAGATGTTAGTCTATGTCATAAAGTTATTAGTTTTGATTTTTGTAGTGTAAATGTATATTTTAGTTCGGAAATAGTGATCATTGTTAATATTAATGTTAGTGTTGTAAGACATGACTTTTGATACTTTTATGTAACACTTGTCGTAAGATATGACTTTTGGTACCTTTATGTAACACTTGTTGTAATTCCATTTCAATTTTATTACAGTAAAATTATAATTTGTACAACAGACAAAACTTAAAAGATCTGGTTGTCACAATTTAAAAATAAATAGAACCCGTTTGTAATAAAAAAAACATAAAAAACTGACTTATTAAAAAAAATTATTTAAAGGACACAATAATGTTCTAGAAGATAAATAATTTTTTTTAATAAGTCAGTTTTTTATATATTTTTTTTTGTTACAAACGGGTTCTATTTATTTTAGTTGGTTCAAAAGATATTATTTTTGCTTGCTAATTTATTTATTTTAGTTATGAAAAATAAAATCAATATTTTCTTACTTTATATTTTAATATAATAATTATTATTTTCATTATAATACTCTATTAAAATATTAAAGGGTATGTTTAAGAAATTTACTATATTTACTAAATCTCATTTTCTAATTTTTTTTTGGTTTTTAAGGAGAAATTGGATTTTTATTTCATACAATAATTGAATTAATTTATTTTCTAATAAATTTTGTTCATCTATATTCTGGTTGCCATATTCATTCAATACTGCTGCTTCTTTCTCCTCTTCTAGAATAAGCATTGAAAACATTCATTCATCTTCTCTAACATTTTTCACATATAAGTAGGGATGCATTCATTCTAATTTAAAACAAAATTTATGTTTTATTTCTCTAGCACAAGAGATTTGTGGTAGGAATTTGCATTCTTTTATTTTTGTATGTTTTATTTCAACTACATTACACTTGTGTTCAATTATATATGTAGCATATTGAGTTTTTCATCACTTGACACATTACAAAAAATTGATTTTTCAATCTCTATTTTTACTTTCTAGATCAATTGCTAATATGGAAGAGGAGGGCCAAATGAGAAACGGAAAATATGCTGCTGATATTTCCTCCATAAAAGAAGCACACGCCAGAATTAAATCATTGGTTCGTAAAACTCCAGTTCTCTCTTCTACTTCTCTGAATCACATATCAGGAAGACAACTATATTTTAAGTGTGAAAATTTTCAAAAGAGGTGAGAAATGACTTTTTCATGAATTACATAAATATTTCGATTTTTCCTTTTTTTTTTGTATATAATATTTCTTTATGGCCATTAGTGGAGCTTTTAAATTTAGAGGTGCCTGCAATGCTGTTTTCTCTCTCACCGATGAAGAAGCTTCTAAAGGTGTTATAACTCACAGCAGGTTTGTTTTACGCAATAATTACATTTTTTTTATTTGATTGATTAAATTTATTTCTCTTACGATGGTGTCCTCCAAAATTAGTGGAAATCATGCGGCGGCGTTGGCTTTGGCAGCAAAACTTAGGGGAATCCCTGCATACATTGTTATTCCAGAAGATGCACCAACTTGTAAAGTTGTGAACGTTAAAAGATATGATGGTAAGGTTAACTTTTCTGAGGCCAATATATGGTCAAGGCAAGAAGTTGCAAAGAAAGTGCAGCAAGAAACTGGTGCTATCTTCATTCCTTCTTCTAATGATGGCCACATACTGAGGTACATCGTCCAGTTTTCATTATTGTTTAACTTTTTGCTTTGATCTTTGCTTTTTGACATGTTTGATTGATTTTGCAGTGGCCAGGGAACCATATTCTTAGAGCTTTTGGAACAAGTCCCTCACATTGATACTCTTGTAGTACCAATAAGTGGTTTGTTCTCCTTTCTATGTCATTACATCATCCAGTGTTTCAGAATTTGCATAATTTTTAGTATTCTCTTCTCAATTTTTTAATTAAATAAATATTTAATTAGGATTTAAGATATTTTATTTTGTTATATTTGTTATTTAGTAGTCAAGTCACTTAGAGGGCCTTTGTTTCATGGATACAAATATTATTTTCGAAAATAAGACATTAGAATAAAACTTAAAAATATTCTTAAAAATTTTATTCTTAGGAATGATATTTTCGAAATTATAATTTTAATCCATCAAACAAACACAATGTGTTTAAAAATATAATTCAATTTTATTATCATTTATTTTAATAATATCAACTCTTGTTTTTCTTTTTCCTCCTCACTAAAAATGCTTCACGCGCCGACAATTTGTAGGCGGCGGTTGTGTAGCTGGAGTAGCATTAGCTGCCAAGGCCATCAACCCAGGCATTCGAATTTTGGCTGCTGAGCCTAAAGGAGCTGATGACGCAGCGCAATCTAAAGCAGCTGGGAGGATAATAACATTGCCCGAGATCAATACTATAGCAGACGGACTTCGAGCATGTCTCGGAAATTTCACATGGTATAAAACATGATCAGCAATCATATAATATGAAATGAAATAAAGCTTTATGGTATGTTTCCGTTAACTTGTAGAGGTTTATGTGGAACAGGCCTGTCGTACGAGATCTTGTTGACGATATAATAGTTGTGGAAGACATTGAAATTGTCAAAGCCATGAAACAGTGTTTTGAAATTCTAAAGATTGTTGTAGAACCAAGTGGAGCAATTGGTCTTGCTGCTGTTCTATCTGAAACTTTTCAGAAAAATCCTGCTTGGAAGGATAGCAAGCATATAGGAATACTAGTTACAGGAGGGAATGTTGATATGGCTGTGCTTTGGGACTCTTTCAACAAATGGAAATGACTTTTCATTTTTCTTGGTCTGAACTTCCGTTGCAAATGAATAAACATTTTCTGTGGATTATCTCAATGCTACTAGTTTACTATTGGACTGAAGCTCTTTTTGATAATTAGTTAATCAATTAGCATTTTATATCCTTAAGAAGAAAGCTCATAATAAGTTACTCATGTTTTCTTTGATTTTTTCTTTATCTCAAAATAATTGTCTTTTTATAATATAAATATAATATTTATTATTATTTTTCCACTATTATATCTCTATTTATTAACTAATATTCATTGATCAATCAATTTATTGATATGAAATAAAAGTTATTTAAATTAACTCAGAAATACTAAAAAGTCTAACGAATACTCATGGACGAGGAGAGGATGTTTGAAGAGGAAATTATAGAAAAATGTCAAAGAATAAAATCCTATGAATAGGGGTGTCCATGGATACCATTTAATATAAACCAATTCATTTTTATGGTTATGGTTTATAAATCAAACCACTTGTTCTAAATTTATTTTTCTTTGAAAATAAATATAAATTAAAAAAAAATTAAAAAAAAAATTGAAAATAAAAAATTCTAAAATAAAAAATCCAGCAAATTATATGAACTTAAAATAATAACTGATATTTATAATACATATATTTGTATATTTCAAAACTTCTATCTATTGGTGGAGAAATCTATAATATTTATAATTATTTTTTCATAAAGCTTTAATGAATTTCGAGATTAAAAATGAAAATTAGAGTCAAATCCAACCAGTCAAGTTTTAGTATATTTTATTGCACATGCCAAATCAAACTCGATGCACTAAGATTTATATAATTAGTTACTGAAAGTTCATATAATTAACCGATAAAAATTCATATAATTTGTGAAGTATTAGTACATCATTTTAGATAGTTAGAAAATTTATAAACAATTTTTTTATATTTTAAAATACAAAATTTTGAATCTTTTGGTTTAAATTATAAAATTAGTTTATAACGTGTATATGATAAAACATAAAAAGAGACAAAAACATATTAATTTAAGGAATAATAAAATTTGGATAACTAATAATTAAACCACATGAAAACCAGTTTATATTTGGATAACAAAATAGATAATCAAATTTATATTTTAAAATTTTATTTAAATTTTTAAAAATAAAACAATTTAAATATAATAAATAATAACCAATTTTTTTACACACACCTAATTATTAGAAAGTTCTAATTTATTTCTAACAATAGCCGAGATAATAGCCCCCAACTGCGGCTTAACTAAAAAAATATTGAAACGACTAATAAATTAAATAAAGGAGAAGTTGTCTTTGGAAATATCTAAGAAAAAAATTAATAGATTTATAAAGATGAAAAGTTAAGTTTAGAAATAAAATAAATTAATGATGATAATAATTATTAGAGAGAAAATCAACATGAAACGAGTAAATGGTGAAATAAGAAAGAAAAATAAGAATAATAAACATTGATTGAGATCATCACATGTGACAACCATGAATTATATAATTATAATCCTGACAATATTAATACAAATTTTTTTATTGTTGTATATGTGTTTGGCAAGTAATTGAATTTATTTGACATATTTTTTAAATGTATTTAATTTAGTTTTTTTTATTAAAATATAAAATAGTAGTTAATTTATTTATTGTTATCTCTTGTTGAAAAGTAAGATTCTCACTATTTTGTAAAGAAATAAAAAATAAAAAATTTATGAGTAAATATTATTTCTAAAAATTAAAAGTATTTTGATATATTTTGATATAATATAAAACAAACATGAGAAAATGAGATTTTTGAATCAAACACCTCAAAAGAAACACTAAAAAGAAAATAAGAATATAAAGACAACAAAGCAAAGAAATAAAAAATAAAAAGAAAATAAAAATGAAAATAAAATCATATATTTAAATTTATTTAACAAAATATTTAGATTGTGATGCTTCAATTTGTACTAAAAAAGCTTAACAAAAAATTATCAAATAACTAAAATTTAAGATTAAAAGAAAATAAAAACCAAAAACAAAGACAAATTACAATAAAAATAAAGTTGTTATTTTTTCTTCCTCTTTTGTTTTTGAAACCAAAATGTTATAACTTTGAATAATACAAAATATTTATAAAAAAATAAAAATTTTAAAATTATAAAAAAAATAAAAATAAAAATGAAGTAATAACAACATGTTAAAAAATATATATTTTGTGATAATTCACAGTTCGTATCTAAAAGAAAAATCAATAATTTTCTTTTAACATGCACAAAAAGAAGTAAAGCAATCGAAAAAGATTCATAATTTTTTTAAAGAGGAAAAAATAAAAATTATACAAAAAATTATAAAATATAAAAATTAAAAACATAATTAAAGAATGCCTTATTTATATGTTCATTATCATGCTAATTCTTGAAAAACAAAATAAATAAAGAAAAGTAAAGCAATCGAAAAAGAACCATAATTTTTTTAGAGAGAAATGTAAAAATTATTTAAAAAAAATTATACAAAATAATTGAAAAATATCTTAATTATATCTCAATTCATGTCATGTTAATTTTAAAAAAAATAATAATACTCTGTGATAATTCAAAGTTCGTACTTAAAATAACAAAGAGAAATCAATAAATTTCTTTTAACATGCGCAAAGAAATGAAAAGAATTTAACATGACATGAATTCAGATTAGGTTTAAATATTGTACACAACTTTTGAAAAATCGAGTTGACTCATAAAAATTATACACAACTTTTGAACAATCGAGTTGACTCATAAAAAAATTTAACATGTCTAAAGAAGGAAAAATTAAAAATTGTTCAAAAAATTATAAAATTAAAAATTAAAAATCATAATTGAAAACAATAAAAAAAGAAAAAAGAAATTAACAACATAACTATTTTTAAAAAGAGAAAAATAAAAATTATTCAAAAGATTATAAAATAAAAAAATTTTAAAAAAATAATTGAAGAATATATTAATTATATCTCCATTCAGGTCATTCTAATTCCTTAAAAACAAAATACATACAAAAACATTATTTATAATATCGCAAAAAAATAATTGAAGAATATATTAATTATATCTCCATTCAGGTCAATTATGAATACATTTTTTTATTGTTATTTTAGAAAAGAAAAGAAAAGTTCGTATTATTTTTGAATAATTTTTTTGAACAATTTTTATTTTTCCTTTTTAAGAATTACACTGTCTTTATGATTAGGTTTAAATATTTACTCCAAATTTTAGACAAATTTAATCTTTAATTTAGTAGTTTTTGAATTAGACTCTCAAATGTATCTCTTGAAAGTTGTGTAAGTTTTGAATTAGTAGATTTCGAAAATAAAGTTAAATTTTAATATGATAACTTTTATTTTATTTTAATATTTTATTTTAAAAAAATATATTTATTTAAAATGTCAAATATACTAAAAAATATATATTTTTTAAAAAATAGTTTTTAAGTCCGTGAATCATGTGAGCTGAACCTAATGAGATGAACCTAACGAGTTGAACCGAACTGTTTGTGAACTTATAACAAGTTGAGTTTGAGCTTAAAAAAAGTTCGTATCGAACTCGAACTCGAACAATTTTTAACGAGTCGAGCCGAGCTGAGGTGAGTTCGACTCGACTCGACTCATTTTCAGCCCTATGAAAAAATAAAGCGATCCAAAACGATCTATAATGTCTTTTAAAGAAGGAAAAATAAATTGTTAAAAAATTAAAAAAAAACATAATTAGAGAATGCATTAATTATGTGTTCCTCCGTTCATGTCATTCTAATTCCTAAAATACAAAAACCATAAAGAGAAGTAAAGAAATTAAAAAAAAAATCCATAATTTTTAAAGAGAAAAATAAAATTGTTAAAAAAATTATTAAAAAAAAATTAAACAACATAATTGAAGAATACCTTAATTATGTATTCCTCCATTCTTAGGAATGGATCTACATATCTAACATTGGGGGCAGCTGCCCCCACTAAGATGCTTATGTTATTATAATTGAAGAATACCTTAATTATGTATTTTTTTTTGCTTTTCAATGTTTCTTCCTCTCTCTATCTCTCTTGATATTTTTTCTTATTTTTCTCTCCTATCTCTTGCTCTCTACATATGCCTCTTTATGTCAATGTGTAGTCAATGCTCCCTCTTTCTACTGCTATTGTTTTTCTTTTTCTATCCAAAACATTAGAGTTTACAACTGTTTTTAAACTTTAGAATTTCTACATTTAGAAATATCCAAAAGCCACTCTCTTGGTGCACCCTTTTCCCCTAGAAATCATACTTTTCTGTTGCACTTTTGTTGCTGTACCAAAACAATAGATCTTGTACATGCTTCAAATTTCAGAATTTCTACATTTGGAAATACTTATTACCACTTTCTTGGTGCAACCTCATTTCCTTCCATTTCTAGCATGCTGTATTTTTGCTTTTTCTCCTGCACTTTCCTAATGCTGTATTTTTCATATTGCCCTCCTTTACTCACTTGTTCTTAGGTTATGGTTGTGGTATATGCCTCTCCTCTTGACATAATTTTAAAGTTCTAAATTTTGGCATGTAAGTGAACCAACATGATCTAGTTCTTCAAGTTTGTGACATGGTTTATTTAGTTGGGAATTAGTTGGTCATGAGGTTGTTTTGGATCAATTAAAAATGCCTTGAAATTGCCTAAGAATAAGCATTAATGGTTATTCTTTTGAAATGTTCCAATGTTGAACCTTAATTATTTTCCTTGGATACTTGTGAGTTTAATTGGTTATGAAATATATGTAGCACATGGATATTTGATGAGGCATGAAGGGTACCATAACATGAAATTAGTTAGAAACTTGAATTAAGGTTAGAAATAACTTAATTTTCTAAGCATTGCTTAGAGTTGGAAACTTTGCAACCAATGTGACATTCTTGCAAATGTCATGGAATTCCCTTTGTAATATTCTAATCTTGAATTTATGAATCTTGAACTTTTGAATGATGGATTTCCCTTATACCATTATTTGAAGTGGATGAAGTCTTG